TATTTACAATTTCTTATCAGCCTATTCAAGCATGGGCCAGGGCAACAGTAGTATGTTTGGTCTGATTTTATGGAGAAATATACATCAAATATATTTAATAAATCGAAATCAATGTCAAAGACTTTGAGACTCAGCTTTTTGCTCAGAGTAATACCATATAAATATACATGAAAGGAGTATCTGTACCAAATGACTAATCCAAATCTTATTACTGACCAAAATATGTGAAAAAATTAAATTAAACAAAAAAAAAAAGAAAGAATAAAAACATTTTGGCAAATGTAACATATTTCAATTCAACATTTACCTGAAAGAAATGTGTCATTGCATGTACATTGTAGAAGTCTATTTAACATTGTTAAGGTTATTAATTCATATTTATTCATCTCATCAGCAACAGTATCTGCATAGTAGTGTTGTGCGATTTTATCAATATACCGATATATCATGATTTTTAATAGCACGATACATATTGTGACACAGAGACTAACATACCTGTATTCAGTACATAATCATAAATTTTAATAATAATTCATTTATTTGTTCAAACTTTTAAATTACAATTACTGGAAATGTAAATAAATGTTCTTAAATAGTAAATCAACAGCATCCTAGCATTCAAACATGCTTTATTAATATATAAATCAAAATGAAAAAAGTGAAGTTATGTTTTCACACCATATTTGTTAGAAAAAAATATGGAGAATCAGATTCATTTAAAATCATAGGTAAAATTGCGTGTAAACATATCATGATATTATTGTGATATTTTTGGAAAAAATCGTGATATATTTTGATACGAAATTTATGGTGATACCTTATGCACCCCCTTATGCATATACAAATGTACATGTGGTGGTTTTGCCCATATATAGATTACTATAGTAAACATAGATACTATATGCTTGTGCCCCCCCTTTTTTTTTGCTTGTCAGGAAATTTTTGGTAGTCAACTGTCAATTGAAAATGTATGGCTGTGCCCCCCAAAAACTGAATTTGCTTCCTACGGGCCTGACAGTATTTCATTGTTAAAAGTGAAAAAAAAACTTAATATTTTATCAAGAGGAAGTGAACAGACCTTCGAACCCTGTCCCTGTTAACATGCTTAATTAAGCTTTTTTTCACCTTTTTTAATGAAACTACAATGCCGCTACATTACACCTTTGTGACCACCGATACTGGAAGTTATGAGCAATATAGTATGTGCATATAGAGGACGCACATAATGCACAGCTGCTATTCAGCTAAATATAGTTAGATCTCTAGTAGTTACATTAACTTAGCACGTATCCGTCTGATCATCATTTATATCAAAACTCGTCATTTGTCGATCTTATGAATTAAAAATAATTTAAACATTATTTGAATACACATTTCATAACCTTTTTCTCTTGGGGCTTGGCTGTTCATCAAACCTTGATGTGTTTTAGCATCCTTATCGTGTTGCAGAAGCAAAATGAAAGTTTAGTAAGTGATCCAACATGGCTGTTTCGTGCGTAGTTTCATTGTGACGTCACAATGAAATTTTCCCGTAATTTGCGAAGTCAAAAATATTACAGTGAAATTCAGAACATTTCTCTTTTCTCCATTACCCAAGATCTAAGCCCGATATCTTTATTAATTTTTTAAAATGAAAGGAGAATATTTTACCAGGGACTTATATACTAATTTTGTATATAGGTCCCTGATTTACGGAATCGTCTTTTGGGGTGATTTGTAGGCAATTTGGAATTATATTTATTCTATTTGCATTGGTTTAAAAAAACATTATTATTATTCTATTTTATGATTGACTAATTCCTGGCTCTCTGATCAGCTGAAATCCAACATTGTATAAATCATACTAAGTTTTATTTTATAACTGAGTAACTGCTACCTCTATGATCATGATGATAGGGTGTAGAAATCATACTATAAAGTTATGTTCACCTGCGCGAGATCTTCCAAGTAAACGAAACATTTTTTTTTCATTGAACTAAAAATAGTTCGAGAACAATTAGTAAAGAAGAGGTAAGTTCACTTGTACCCAACCTTCCATGTGAACATAACATATCCCCCCCCCCCCATATTACACCAATCTTCTAATAATAATTTCTAAATTGATACAATTGGTTTTGAAAAGTTAATTCACCCGCACCAGACCTGTAACATTTATTTCTTTATTTTATTTTATTATTATTTTTTTTTTTTACATTACACTAAACTTCTAAATTGATACAATTGGTTATGTAACGTTAGTGCATTCAGTGCTCTCAGTGCATTCGGCTAGGACATCAGCAAATGTGAACAATCAAGAAGATTCACCCAAGGAATTTGTATAATTCAATAATTGAATCATAAATAAAACAATTATTGGTGTTTTTCAGTCACCTTGGAATACAATATGCACCTCGGCCTTCGGGTTCGGTGAATATTGGACTCCTTGGGTGGCACATCATCGTACTGACCTTAAACAAAAATCATGTTTTTTCTGCATTTTCCTAGATACCATTCATTGAATAAGTTTTATTTAATAACTTTCTTTTTCTTTAAATAGAATATGGAATTACCATATCAAAAGTGGAACATTACAATTTTTTGTTCATCACTAGTTATCCCCCGTCGCATGGAATATGACGGGGGAGGGGGTGCAAACGAAAAGTTTGTGAGGCTCGATTGCTTCGATCAGTGGCACATTACCCCTAAAAATGGAAAACCCCTCCTCCCCAGTCCAGATCCTGTGTAGAATTGTCTCTGTTGTTTACAAAAGAAGCATCCTTAAGTTTTGAAGGAAATTGTTTCTCTTTATGCAACCCCTTCCTTCTGAATCTTTGAATCTACCATTCCGCGTAAAAAATAAAGAGACATTCAAAAAAAATTATGTAATTGTGCACTACATATATTGGATCAAAGACCAGAAAGAATTACAGGATGTCCATAAATGACAAGGCCATCGAAAGTGGAGGGGGCGTTGGGCGATCGCAACCCCCCCCCCCCCCATTAAAAAAATAATTCGAAAAGCATTTTTGAAACTCATTATTCATCTGTTCAAATTGTTTTGCTTGTCTAATGTTTGCACAAGAACACACCAAAATGGTAATCATTCAAACAATATTTCTAACTTAAGGTACTCCCCCCTTAGTTATCCCCAAGTAACTTGACTACCCCCCTCCCCCCCTCTTCCAGAAACCTGGTGACGGTCTTAAATGAACCCAAACCTTATTCTGTATGTTGTACTTCATAACATATATGAATTCGATAATCTTGTAAATTATTTAAAGTTTCATGCTTTGTGATGAATTCATTATATTTGCCTTACAAATCCTCCTTCATTTCAAAAGTACAAATTTGTTATCGCTCCGAAAGAATTCATATTTTTGATTTATTAAAAAAAAAACAAACAAACAAACAAACAAACAAAAAAAACCACATAATCTTCATATACACCTAAACAGTATTTTGCAATAAGAATGGGGCGCTTCATGGATTCAGATTATCTTTTTAAAAATTTCTGTGCATATATTTCGTGATTATAAGGCTTCTTAAAAAATTCCCACGCAAACATAATTTTTAAAAAAGGAGGGAGGGGGTTACTTACCTAAATTCACATAAATTACATCCATCAAAAATTACACTGAGAAAAGACGAAACCAAATTAAGCACCTCCGATATGTGTATGGTAAATAATCATATTCAGAATCAATTAATGTGTCTGCGGTTTATTCCATTCAAGTTAAAACCATTAACATATAGAATAATGAAATGATTTGTTTAAAGTGTAAATTTTTGATCTGGTGTTTTAATGGAGTTAGGCTATGTTGATAGTATGTGAAAGATAACGTATCACAATTCCATGGCGACATTCTTTCAAAGGAACATTGAGATTATCTGATCTGTTTGGAGTTTATCGATACACTAGAGCCATACAGAGGAAATGTTTACCAACAATGATCACTGTATACACTGCTCTTGAGCTCTGACTGATATTTTTATCCAGAGTATGTCTTTATCTACTTTTTACATTGCTTCTTTATCACGATTGACTAAATACTGAATGACTGTTGACAACTGATGAAATCTTAATTCAAAAGACGATCACTTGAATAAACTGCAAAGAATGCCAGAAGAACTGGGATCACCTTCATAATAATATTTTTTTTTCTTTTAAAATTAAGTGATTTTATAAAGTTAGAAATAACCACCTCACGCCACTTGTTTTCTTTATTAGGTAAGTCAGTGTGCAAAAATCTTAAAAACGGCGAAAATATTGACAAGAATGTCACCCAAACAATTAAGGATGAATGCTAAGGAAATTAAACAAAGTCAGACACTGACAATTATTTCATTCATTTTCCCACTTGATTATTTTAAGGTAAATAAATTTGCGTAAATGCCTGCATTCTAATTCTGGATCTAGATGTTATCTATGAAGAATCGGCAAGAATAGCTGAAAAAAAAAAAATATCGAGGGGATTATCAAATTTAATTTAAAAATAATAACTTGACCAGTGGCGGATTTAAGGGGGGGGGGGGCGCACCCGGCGCCCCCTCCCTAAAATTGTCAAAGTTAGCGTAAATCATAGTTTCGTCGAGAAAATGTAAAAATGTCTACTCGGTACACCTCATTTTTACACTACAAAATCTCTAGAATCTAGGAGCTTCCGTGGGCTTTGCCCTTTGCCCCCCTGGGCCCCCACCAAGGCTTTGCCCTGGACCGGGTCAAGTGGGTCACCCACTGGGGGCCTCAAGGCGGCCCTCAAACCCCCTGCCTACTTCCCCCCCCCCCCTTCAAATCTTGGATCCGCGCCTGCTGACGTTGTTAATAAACAATTTACATGATTATATAATATTATTTTTAATAATCATGTCCCATAATGCCCTCGATAGGTGAATAAACACACACAGATTACACATCGTTGTAACCTTCCGTTATTTTACACCCCCCCCCCCTTCTCTCTCAAATAATGGACTGATACAAGGAACGATCTATTGTGAAAAGAAAATCACCGTCAATGAGACGTTTGAATGGCCGGCATGTCGATTTGAAAAGCTTTTTTCGTCAAGAAAACGTCCGATTTGGGACTTGAAAAGCAGACATGGTAAAACTAACAGCAGAATTAATAGAACAATCGGCCCAATACACAAACCCCATTCGTGATAGAGAGTTGGATTTGAGAGGTAATGTGATATAAATTATTTTTCATTATATTTATAGTCCGCGCGTCCTCCGTTATTTCAGTTTTCTCATAACTGTCCACAGTGTAATATAATTAGATAAAGATTTATCAACATAATGAAAGTATTACCTTTTCACCTTTTTTATTTGATATAGGTTACAAAATTCCAGTTATTGAAAATTTGGGTGCTACATTGGTGAGTAAAGTTTAAAGACATAATCCGAGATAGTGACTTAAAAATTCAGAATTTAACAGTCAAGATAAAGCTAAATGATGAAATAATGCCATATAATTTCCAATATTATACTATGATTGCAGGACCAGTTTGACACAATCGATTTGTCTGATAATGACATAAGAAAAGTTGATGGATTCCCTTTACTTTTACGGCTTAAAACTGTACTATTGAACAACAACAGAGTAGTGTAAGTATGAATTTCCCCCATACTGTGAATCACTGAAATGCCCCCGATTCACTGAAATGCCCATTGAAAACACCGAAAATCATATATAAACAATGAAATGTTTCTCAATTTGATATTATTTATTAAGGTGAAATGCAATTAACTCGTTTTGTACCATAAGAATATGATCAAATGCATATAAATTAAGACGAGTTATCACCCATAGCTCTACAACGTGGTTCAAGTTGAAATTAAAAAAAAAAATAATATAAAAAGTTTATTCACAGTTAAACTGTTAAATGCTTTTTTAAAAAGAGAAATAAGCAAATTTGTACACCCACAGAGCATGGCATTTTATGGGGCATTTCACTGTCCCATGATAATGAGCTGCAGAGCACTTTGATGATTCATGTTAGTACCTAGATTTGCCAGATGTTTTATTGAAAACTGCATTTTTTTTTCATTTATACAAACTTTTACAGTTATTTTTGCTATAAGAGTCAACAATGCACAATGCTGTAAAAGTAGAGATTCACAAAAGTGCATGATTTTATGGACAGGCTTGTTTGATTTTGTTCATTTTACACTGCAGAAGAATTGGTGAGGACCTACATGAATGTCTTCCCAACTTGGACACATTGGTTCTCTCAAACAACAGTATGGCAGAGTTAGGGGATCTAGACCCACTCTCCAGTCTTAAATCTTTACGACACCTAAGGTAAGTCATGGACATTTTTTCTTAATTCCAAAATGATGCATAAATGTCTTGGAAAAATTTTAATACATGACTCTTTCCAGTTTTTTCATGACCAAAAATCACAGCAAAATAACGTAGTTTTCCTGGGAAATGTGGTAGTTTTTTCCTAAAATTCATTATATTTTCCCAATATTTTTATAATTGTTTTTAAGACTGTAAGGCCAAATAAAAAAATATGTGTGGTTCCAGTTACCCGACCTTCCCTATTTTATACCCCCGACCCTAAACTTTTTTTTTTTTGCAATTCAGGGATAGACATCAACTTACAGATTCACTTGCCCTTTGGGCAAGTGAACTCAAACTTTGACTTGTCTGAATACAAAACTTGGTTGCCCAAAATTTAGAAAGAAGGGAAACCGATAATTTATTATTGTAAATAAAGTGAGATATTTTTTTTTTTTATATTTGGCAAGTTAAGTGCCAGAAAAATATCTTGATGTGCAGGTGATGCTACATTTGAAATACTTGTAAACTCACATTGCCATGCAGCAATATCTCCTTTTAAATAAAATTCATATTTCTGAAAATTATTTTCTTAATGATCTTTTTCTGAATTTAGATTTTTTCCCCCTGAAAAACTGAAGCCACGCTAAAGAAAAACATTGGCCATGTTTTGAAACATAAATATCCTAATCAGAATACATCGTGTGCCGAGAATAACTGGTTTTCTTTATGTTCTGTGAGTAAATAAATGAGCTATTTTTAAATATCATATTTCATAATAAGTATGTTAAGAAGTCAGTTTTGTCAACTACCCAGAAAGAAAAATGGAATAACGAACCCGATTTTTGAATAAACGGCGCTACCGAGGAATTTCCGACTACAAAAAGAATGTCATATATTCCTGGTAGAAATCAAATGTTCAAATTATTGTTTTGTTTATAAACTAAATAAATGTAAGATTTAAAAAATCTATCAAATATTCACTTGCCCGATCGGACAAGTACATCAGCAGTTTCACTTGCCCGTACTGAGAATTTACTTGCCCCGGGCAATCGGACAACCGTTAATGTCGATCCCTGCAATTTTCATATTTTTTCCAGAATTTTCCCCGATTTCCATCAATGGCTCCAGTTTTAGTTTTAGTTTCAGCAATGTGCAAGTGTTTAATAGTGTTAAATCCAAAGCAAGCTAGCATGTAGGTGTCCCCTACCAATATTGACTAGTATATTATCACACCTCATCTAAACACCATTTGCAAAGCAGTGATAGGTATTATTTAGAAAAAATTAAGAAAATCATTTTGTTAAAAAAAAAAAAAATTCCCTACCTACCTACCCTAATTTTTTTGGAAGTGTAACCAGAACCACACATATTTTTTTGTTTGGCCTAATGTAAAATTCCTCCAAAAATAGATGATGCTTTTTAAAATATAGGTGAAAACACTGCTTTATATTGATGTTGATCTTCATTTCAGTTTACTTAGAAACCCTGTCCAATCAAAGAAACACTACAGATTATACGTCATTCACAAGATCCCCCAGTTACGTGTTTTAGACTTCCAGAGGATCAGACAAAAGGTACATGAAAGCATTTTTTCCCTTTTATAAATACACCTGTACATATTTTCATGTTTAAAGAAGTAACAGTATTCAGGTTTTTATTTTTGTTTGTTTGTTTGTTTTACATTAAATGTGATCTATTTTAGGAAAGAGAAGCAGCTGCTAAAATGTTCAAAGGCAAAAAAGGGCAGGCCCTGGCCACTGATATTGGAAAACGCAGTAAAACATTTGTTCCCGGAGAAAAGATTCCCGAAAAGAAGACAGGGCCATCCAAAGAGGATATTAATCTTATCAAGGTCAGTAGTTCAATGTCTTCTTCTTGTAAATGATTGTGAAAGTAAATTTCAAAAGAAATTTTCTTGTATTTTCTTGTATTTTCATAATCATTGGTCAATATCATATTGTAGATGGCAATAGCCAAAGCAAAAACATTGAATGAAGTTGAGAGATTAAATCAGATGCTGAAGACTGGAATTATTCCAGGAAAAGAACTGAAAAGACTCAGAGGTATGATTATGATTAAGGACTTGTCTTCTCAAGGGACTGTCTCAAAATTTGAAGACAAATTCACATGATATAAATATCAATTCTGTAATTGTGTAATTTGATATTTGCAATATATTCAGTGAAAGGTGTAAATTGTATGAAAGTCTTTTATTTATAAAAACACAATTTCAGTTTCTTGGATAAAGGAAAGGAAATATAACACATGTATTTACCCCATCTTTGTGCATGTTACAGGGGAAAACACTGAGGAGGAAGATGAAGATATGGAGGTGGTGAATGGCACCTAAGGAGGAGGAAGATAATCACCGCACACAGCTACATAATGTACGTATACATGTCAGATAACTGTAGTGAGGTACATGGCAGGTAAAGTATGACTGGAATACTGTAATGAGATATGTGATAGATAAAGTATGGCTGGAATACTGTGATGAGATATGTGATAGATAAAGTAAGGCTGGAAGAGTATAATGAGATATATGACTCTTAAGGACATTGGCAAGTCAGGGTTTTCCGGAGAAAAAAGGTTTAATACATGGGTTTTTTTGCTTATAAAATAGTGATTGAGAGTGATCTCCCGTGTAGAATTCTTTAAGCGGTGAAAACCAATAAAGCGTATGTCACAGAGGTAAACATAAGCACGTGTACCTCCTTCAACGGGTAGAATCATCTATACAGCAAGAAAGAAAAGCTGTAATGGCTTTGTTGTACATTGTATTCAGGGACAAAGAGCCAACAGGTCATTATTTACCGTAGTTATGCTCAGTTTGCTGGAAAGGGCAAAGATGTGACATACGCTGAAAGGTAGGTCGACCATGCCGACTGAGAACAGTTCTTAGGTCATGTGAAGGAATCGGCATTTAGTAACTACGAATAAAAAGTAAAAATAAATCCATGACAATGTTTTTATGACAATGTGTTTCAATTCAGTCAATTACATGATAAAACAATCAACCAGTCTCTTGACCAATTTTAGCTGTTAAGGGACGCAACTCAAAAATAATGATCGGTGCCGGTATATCCATGTCTTGTTTCTAAATATACATTTTTAGCCAAAATATCTAGAAGTCATAGGAAATGAAGATACAATAATGTATATAATACAAAAGCTGTATGAAATAAATGGGTTTTGAAGAAATATTATGGTGAAAAATTATGTAGGTCCCTTTTATCAACATTTTACATAGGAAATGCATTAAGAATTGTGAAAACACTGATTTGACAAAATCTAAAAAAGAATGATGGATTGGTAGGTAAAACGATCCAGAATATAGCCTGTTTAGTACATTTAAACCTACTCCAAAGTTCTTGAAAAATTCTATACAATAACCAGGAACCTTGCCAATGTCCTTAAAGCAAGGCTGGATGACTGTAATGAGATACATGACACATAAAACAAGGCTGGATGACTGTAATGAGATACATGACACATAAAACAAGGCTGGATGACTGTAATGAGATATATGACACATAAAACAGGGCTTGATGACTGTAATGAGATACATGATACATAAAACAAGGCTGGATGACTGTAATAAGATATATGACATAAAACAAGGCTGGATGACTATAATGAGATACATGACACATAAAACAAGGCTGGATGACTGTAATGAGATATATGACACATAAAACAGGGCTTGATGGCTGTAATGAGATACATGATACATAAAACAAGGCTGGATGACTGTAATGATATATATGACATAAAACAAGGCTGGATGACTATAATGAGATACATGACACATAAAACAAGGCTGGATGACTGTAATGAGGTACATGACACATGAACAAGGATAGATGATTGTAATGAGATACATGACACATAAAACAAAGCTGGAAGACTGAAATTAGATACATGACACATAAAGCAAGGCTGGAAGACTGAAATGAGATACATGACACATAAAGCAAGGCTGGAACACTAAAATGAGATACATGACATAAAACAGGGCTGGATTACTGCAATGAGATATTTGACACATAAAACAAGGCTGGATGACAGTAATGAGATATTTGACACATAAAATAAGCCTAGATGACTGTAATGAGATACATGATACATAAAGTCAGGCTGGATGACTGTAATGAAACCCACTGATTTAAATTAATATCTGTATCTGTATTCTAAGATACATACTCATAAATGCATTGACATTGAGTTTATTACAACAAAAATTGTCAGTACCAGTAAATATTTTACTTGCAGAATTATCCCATACAAGTTTTCATTATTAAGAACAATATCAGAAATGTGTCTGTTTTACTTAGTCCATTACTTGCAAAGCTAAAATAATACAAAAAAATACACCACATTTTAAACAGATATATTTATTCCATTACTTGGAACTATAAATATTGTCTGTTAATTGAATAGGAGAGCATCTGATAGACAAATGATGTTACAATATTTAATGCAGTATAATTTACTTAAAATTTCCAAATTGCTTTTAATAATCATTGTAAGACTTCCATTGCTAAAATTTGCTTTATAAACAGAATATACAGTGATACTGATTTTATTCTCAATTTCAGAAGAAACAAGATGTTGGCATGCTGAGTTGTGTTACATCTCCTCAGTACAACATTTATTGTTTTCATTTCTCCCTGGTTTATATGCATGACTTGAATACTGTTGTACCTGTTTATTTGAATTATCCTTTAATTTGATTCTTCTCCAGAACAAGAAAGAGTATTAGCAAGTTTGTAACTCCGAGTTGTGGCGTATCAATAGCACTGTGGGTCTTGGTATGTCTCGTGAATGAACAAATGCTGATCAGTAGCCAAAATGATTTGGTGCAGAAAACTTTGAAAACACTTTCCTCATGCATACCATTTGGCAAAGATGACCACATTTGTTAATTTATAAAGATGGGATTTTACAAATCTCATTTTTCTTCTTGAAAAATAATGTAGCCTATTTTTATTCAACATGCAAAATATGTTTAATATAAATTTCAAACGATTTTATTAGCATATCAATAACTTTAAGGTATTTATCTAAAATTCAATATCTCAATATTAAAATTTCCAAATGTTCTTATATTGATGCACATGAATTAATTTTAGTTCAATTTAAACCATATTCTATCACTGAATAAAACCTTCTGTCTCTTCTACTTCCAGGTAAATAGAGAATTTCACCAGGTCAACCCATCAATTCATCCTTAATCACATGTTAAGATATAATTTTGCCTTGATTGGTCAGATACTGAACACTGATAAGAACAGAGAACTACTACTATTGTCAATGATCCATTAAAGGCTGAGAAAGATATTCTTGTGTTCTGGTTTCATTTAACAGATTCTGTAGGAAGGATGGAGAACTTAAGCCATTCCAAGTTTTTGTTTTATGTTTAGTGTCTTTGTTTGCTTTGGTTTTTTGATACCTTGAAAGAAAAAACAACTTCAATAAAAAAAAAAATCAGTAGTACAGAAATTAATTTTTTTTATGTAAACCTTTTGAATTCTGTCAATTTCTTTCTATATTTGTTGAGAATCCACATAATTAGGTATATACTTAGCATTTCCAAAGAAATATATCTTTTTATGAGAAAAGTAGAATTTTGAAATCAAATCTTTTAAATGTCATTTGTATAACTATAAATTGTGTTTTATTTTGGCATGTTTGTTGTGAATAGGTACCGTAGATAGCTTCTTAAGTGATAGGTGGATGCTAAACAGAGAAAAACTTGGAATGGTCTCAAGTATATTGAAACTATGCTACAATTTAATCAGAATCTCCTATTTGTTTCAAATTAAACCCCTTCTTTTTTCTAAAGCTTCAAGGCTGCATGTTTTTCCAGGTATTGGAAGTCTGTTATCTAGTGCAACCAGCAAGATTGTACTGGATGCTAAAGGGTAAAATTTACACTTTCAGATACGTGTACATCCACAAAATTAATTATTCCACACCCCTAAATTTGAGTGTATCTACAGATTCTAGACTGAAATTCTTTGGGAATATGCTCACTGGCGGAAAATATACATAACATTATTAATTTTTTTTTTTTGGTGTGGGATATTGCATTAATTATACCTAAAATATATTTAGAATAAGTTTAAAAAAACTTTTTTAAAAAACAAAACAAAAACCTGAAAGCTTTTGGGGGATTTGCCCCCTCGACCCCCAACTGGTTCGCCACCCTACCAATGCTTTTCAAGAATCCTGGATCCGGCATTGATATTTTTTGTTATTTAGGTGTGCATGTACTTTTCTTCTTTAATGGGGTGTACCTGATTTGCAAACAAAATTTCATTTGTACAACACAACAGGGTGTACCGGTGTATTTGGAGGCCGTCATAACAACTTGAAAGGGTGTTTCATTGTTAGATGGGGTAGAATGTAAAATAGTGTATATAAACAGCAGTTAAAGTTGAAAGTTAATGAATCTGAACTGGTTTTTGAATTTCAATGTTAAAGGGAGAGAAGAGATCTAAGCCCAGCTTGGAAACATTTGAGTCTTAGGTACAGAAACAGAGGGGTACATGTATTTTAAGCATTTGGATTTTTAATATGTAGGGTGAAGCGATAGCAGTGTGAGCAGCAATTTTAAGAGGGAAAATAGTTTGACTTGCTGATATCATGAAGCTAACACCCCCTTTTTCCGATTCGTAAGCAATTGCCTAGAAATGTTCTCGTGTAAACTTCACGTGATTTTTTTCAAATGAAGTTCCTGTGAAAAGAACAGAAAAATAACAATAAAAAATATTCACGTGAGCACACGAGTGAAAATCACGTGAAGTTTTGCATGCATGGATTTTAAGTGGCATATCAATTTTACTCGGGCGTCTTAGTCGAATAGTCGGATGCTTTTGTCGAACGATATTCGAGTACATGTACTCACAAAATATTTGTGTGAGTGTGTCAAAAATTTGTGTTTTTTCAGACTCGTACAACATTTAAAATTTTTAAGTTTTAAATTCTTCTCACTTTAAATTCGCATAAGATTCATTTGGCAGCGTATAATCTATAGGGCTGTATCAATATATCGATACATATCGATATTCAAGAATGTATCGCATCGAGAGAAAAAAAACTTCCAATACCTATCGGGCAGGCAGTTTTTCTTACATAGGCGTCGGAAGCAAATTGAAGGGGGAGGGGGGGGCTAAACCAACAAAAAAATGTTTGGGGGCTAAGCCTCAATTTTCAATGCTTATATTATATCTTAGCAAAAAAGTGGAGGGGGGCTAACACCCCCTCCCCCATTTCCAACGCTTTTGTCTTGTAATTCTGTGAAAAAGTTGGGAATTTCAATCACCAAAGATAATATTTAACTGTTTTGAATTGAAACTGACCATTAAATGATGTAAACATTTAGGAGATAGTACGTCTTAAAGAATTATTACAAAATATATGGACAACTATATTTTAACATGTTGATTTTGCAGTCGTTAAAAGTTTGAATTTGAAGTGTATTTTATAATGACAGTAAGACAAGAACCCAGAAATAGGTTATAAAACACTCATTTTTTTTTTATTTAAAACTTATGCACTTTTTTTTGATAGACTTGTTAAAGAAACCAATATATCACTTTATAAAATATCTTATCGTATCGATTTTTTTTTTTATAATTTTTTTGCCTAATACACAACCCTAATAATCCATCACCGTCATCTCTGCAAAATGTCGTCAGTGAGGAGATGCGAGCCCATAAAACAGGGAATGCTTAATACACCTCAAAGCACTGCACTGTAAAAAGCGCATATAAATTTTGCAAATAATTAAGGGTTACATAGAGTCTGTCCTATTGACCTACATCTTTGAATATGGACTGAAGACAACAATTTTGCGTTTCTTGCACAATACGGACACCTCGAGTCCAGTGAAAGCCAGTTGATGATTCGGGATGACCAACAATCTTTTAAATACCTTGAATAAAGTTTTTGGTTGTAATTGCATTTTTATCCATTATTTACATATTTTGAAACTTGTTCTAAATGAAAATGCGTGCGACGAATACTACCCCCCCCCCTCCAACACATACATACCACCACCATCATCACCAAAAATCGAGTTAAAGTAACAGGGGCTCTCTCCCGGTAACAACCAATGAAATACGCCGTTTTAAAATTAAAGAAACCTCCCCTTACTGCACTAAAGAACTATTTTCATGCTCAAGAACATTTTCATCAATTCACAGGAAAATTTTGTTAACCATACCCATACCCTGTGATTTGTTTTGATAAATAAAAGCAATAATTCTGAGAATACTTACCGATCGGTTTCATAATTCAAAGGTATCAAAGAGAACTTTCTGTTTTGTTATATGTAGAAATTTGTTCTCAATCGGAGTTTCTACGATTATCCCCCTACCGATTGACTTAGTTGACTTACTGCTATCTCTTTTTCGATCGTCGTCCATCGTGCGTAGGTCGTAAACTTTTGAACATTTTCGACTTCCTCTCTGGAACGACCGAACCAATTTAATGTCATTTTATATTGGTATATTGCGTTTCTGCGTAATTGTGAATTTCATGGCCTTGTCTTAACCTGTGGGCAAAACCCATCAAAATTACTCTTATTCTTTACTCCTGGACATCAGTCAGTAAAACTTGTGCATGATTATAATAAACAATGAGTCTTTTACCAAAAAAAGAAGACAATTCCGAGTTCCATGGATTCATGATTCAGACTCCAAGAAAGGGCTAAGTTGGTCATATATAATTATACATGTACATGTATAATAAAAATACATTGTATTTTAGGAAATCTTTCTTTACTCATGGATATCTAGCAGGCCTACTGTTTGCACGATTATAAGGAGTACTCCGGTAACCTTTTAGCAGGCAAACTGTTTCCATGATTATAAAGAAGCACTTGGCCTTCTACCAAAATCTTAAAATTCATGGCCCCTGTTTGTATGATTAAAATACAATGTAAGTACTTAACCCTTATTTACATTGTTAAATTCATGACCCATGATTTGAAACCTAAGGGCAGGGCTAAGTTGGTTTAGAAAACTCATTTTATTTTCGAATCATTACTAATGGACATCTATCAGGCAAATTGTTTGCATGGCTGTAAAGATCGAGCAGCTAGTCCTCAACAAAAATAAAATTCTTGTCCCATTGCTCCAAGGATCAGACCTTAGGGTAGGACTAAGTTGATCTTTTTTCAGTTTATTCCTTTTCTTTACTCTTGAACTAGAAAGCAAACTGCATAAAAATAATACTGATTACATCTAGTCCTCACCAGACTGTATATATATATATATATATATATATATATATATATATATATATATATATATATATATATATATATATATATATATATATATATATATTTATATATATATATATATATATTTTACATGAGACCAGCGTTACAGTTCCAGTTGTGGTTAATGTGGTCATAGCCTGAGAAACTCATGATAGTCAGGTGATCGTCACGGCCCATGGGTCTGTCGTTTGTTCTGGATCCTCTGACACCCTCCCCCCCCCCCCCCTGCACCCTTCTTTTACAGGACCAAATATGAATTTGATACAACCACACTTTATACATACATGTAATTACAGGGAAAAAGGAGTCTTGGAATTGATGCACTATGTCCCATTTTATTAAAGTTTTGCTGTCACAGTGAAGTAAGCCTATTTCTTTATCTATTTTCCATTGTAAATTTTGTTATTCATAGACTCAATGACTTGCATTTCATTCACAATATGAAGACTCGGGGCTTTTGATGTGTGTCTATACAACCCTTTGAAATCTAAATAAAACTACATGACAATTTTTTGCTAACAGTTGTGGATAAGATAAGACTTTTATGGAAAATTTTTAAGTTCTAAAAATCAATATCCTTGATCTTTTACATTTCTACATATGCTTACTATCTAGGTGACGAATTTTCAACTATTATTGATACTGAACGACCTTCTCCATTTAAATGACAAAAAGACAAATTCGATATTTGTTCATATTTATTACATATACAATAAATTAAATTAAATAAGACATTTAATACATTAATTTCTATCACAACAATATCAACATTAAATGAACACTAATGGAAATTAAAATAATAATCGGGCGGAAGTGTTCAGGTAAACCGGAAACCGGATATTCGTTCGGTAAATCCGGGGAAACTCACACTTTGACGGGATCTAAGTCTACACGATCTATTACTTGAGATCAATGTGAAAACTTGATTCTGTCCTAGCTCATATCAAGAGGAAATATTGCACATGGGCCCGGCCCTTAGATTTTCATATCTTTTACTCACTCTCACATAATGGATTTCATACGACCCGTAAAAAGGAAGGAGACTATACAAGAACGAAAGAAACATTTACCTACAATATTTATTTCTTACATGCACTTTCATTCAAATAAATAAGGAATTTGCACACAATATGCACATGCATATATCTCTTGCTTTCAAATATGAACAAAATCATGACTAGATATACTCATCCGAGAGTTTATACAAATTTCACATACACACTTAAAAAATATTTTTCAAAAAAGGGATCACACTGGTAGCGTAGCTGTTCTACAATATATGACAATTGTAAAATGACATTTGAAAAAAAAAATAATGACACAGATATAGCACCATCGGGAACATTAAATTATGCGTGAAATAAATATAATAAGCTTAATACAGTCGCACCATTTGGTGACCGTGAAAGTGAAACAGCTGATTCAGATTGGATCATATCGATTTCAACCCCCATTGTAATAGTGTCGATTGCATGACAACAAAGAAACTGATTCTGGATAAATTATGCAAAGAGTATCACGTGGTCTCACACAATTTTCATAATTAATTTTGTCACGGCTATCTTCTAAAGGGTTAGAAAAAAAAATCAATAGATATACGGAGAAAACATCTGACGCTTTGTCTCTCAATCAAACCCTGACTAAACAAAGAAAAATCCTTAAAGCATCGAATAACAAAATCATATTACTCACAAAAAATAAGAACTTTAAATAATGAATGATATAACTTATAATTTGAAGCACATTAATACATGACGTCGGTAAATTTTGTTGACAGACATTTATGTTACTCTGTTAGACACAGGCAGCATCCTTGATAAAGGACCGTATACTGCTGGGCAGTGGTAGGTGGTCAATCTCTTGTTGTTTGCAGATACTGGACAGAATCTTGACACGACAGCGATCCTGTAAACTCTGATACCCCCTGCGACGGACTCCCAGGGTCATCTCAGTCTTGGCAGCGGTGGATGCTGCAATGGGATAGAGGGGTTCCTCCACGTCCTCTAACCCTGTAAACGCTACACCTAAAGATAGACCATCTTTGAAATATGTCAGAGTTCCTGATATTCCGTCAAAAAGAATACCCACCACTGTTGCTTCATTTTCTTTGAATGGTTTCGTGTATTGTCTACTTTTTCCGTTATGCCATAGCTGTCCTTTATGTGAGAGACCCCAGCTGCATTGGTCTTCTCCTATCATGTTCACAAAAGCGTCTACATGAAGTCTTGCACCTTTAGTCCCTATACCGAACATCATACTAGTTCCAAAAATCCTTTGTGACACTTTAATTTCCCAATAATGAATTCCATAATTCAGAACACAGTTTCCCCGTATCCCTGCTGTTCCGTTAGACCAGTGAGGGTGAAAATGGGCAGTTTCCATTCCTTCCCCTGAAGTTTTGACTTCATGGGACTTGTCCTTTTTGTTCCACGTCCATCGCTCGTCGCAGCCATCTCGAATAAGGTCCTGATGCTGCGAGTACAGCCCGACCATTGTCTCAGCAACTAGTATTGATTAAATCCCGGCTGGTTTATTGATGGAACACCACAGCAAATGCAATCTGGCCTATTGACTATTTCTGCGTACTATCGGAGACTGCGGCTTCTGTGCTTATACTACTTCGCGGCACACGTCATCCACACATGGGAACCTCATCGCGGTGTGTCCTTCGGTCACCCCTTGTCGCCCCAGCTGACACGGGCACGTTATTTGCACAGTCAATATATTCGTGTGACAGGCGTGTGCCACGACTAGCTACCAATCAATGAAGGGATGAATTAGACAGCGATCAATATTATTTAAAGTAGCTGTACACAGCACGCTATCTTCAACAGCTGTTGTGGTGGCTCCTCGGAGTGTCAGAGAAAGGAAATAGAATCGTTCTAATCCCTAATAAAGCACATTACAACATCAGGAGTGTTACTTAAGAATTATTTTTTCTAACGGAAAATTTAAAAAAAAAATTAGCACTTGATTTTGACTAAAAATACTTATGCTTATGACGAATTTCCTAGTTGATCGGGCATACTAGTGTGTTTCATAAATGTATTATCTATTGTAAACAACAAAAGATCGGAAAATGCATTGTCGAGTCATAGCTTGATATTATTGTAATTATTTTTCTCGAACCAGGAAATTACAAAATTAAAATAAAGTTTCAAGTATGTTTTGATTTAAAGTAAGCATGCATTATATTACCGTAAATATGAAATTAATTTGCAGTAAAATTCCACATTTAAAAAAAAACACACACACACAATTAAATTGTTCATTTTTATCAATAAAATCATCTTCAAATAAAAATTAACTAATAGAGGACCAATGATCTTACTATATTTATATTTATAGGATATTTATATAAATAACTTTATAATATTAACTCTTCAACGAGCACTGGAAAAATATCGCTAATTCAGCAGCAATATGTTACACTAGCAAACCGTTAACAACCTGAAAAGGTATTTCACTCTCCAGTTTTTAATCACCTTTGATGGGGGGACTGTGGGAAAGCTTGAGGACCTTTGTTGTACCTGTGTGTTACCTGAGTCAGGTATACATACTGCGGGCAGGTGGTGCATTCGCGTGTCGTTGACAGAAGGAACAAAGGATCACTAAATTCAATTTATATTGGAAACAGATGTGAACAACCATATCATATAATGAGAATCGGTGGCACTGGTCACGATTGGGCAATGGATAATTAGTACATCAATGACATTTTTACCGATATACTGTACAACAGAAACACCTGCCGCGGACTCGACAAATATTACGTCACGCTAACGGGTAGTCTGTTCCGTTAGTTCTTTAATGCGTACGCAAACAAAGAAATGATGTGAAATGGAACATATCAAACCAAATGTCGACTTGACTAGGTCATATGTATCTGTGTAAGTGTGATTAAAATAAATACATTAATTTTATGCTGCTTAAAATCACAATTTATAGTGAGTATCTATAAATGTACATTTAGTTATTGGTTTAACACCCCCCCCCCCAAAAAAAAAAAAGACAGGTATATTTTTATTTCTTTCTGATAATTTTCTGAGGTTGATGTTTAAGTCATTTCCTGAAGAAAAGAGTTAGCGTAATATTTCCCCGCAAAAATTCTGACAACTGTGACTAACGGTCTAGATTCGAGATCCTCGTAAATTTTGATGTTGATAATCACCTGAAAAGACACACCGTTAAGAAAAATTCTCAAAGGAAGAAAGGGTAGGACTTGGGCCTTAGGGATACACCGAGCGGTTTTGCGAGAACACTGGTTTATGCTCTGTCTTCAAAAGAGAAACTACTTCCTGGAGACCATACAAGATAGGTGAACAGAAGATAACGCACACTGACTATAATGCCAATAGAACATTTGTCGGTAAACAGATAACAAGTGCTTTATTTCAATCGCACAAAATGGGGCTAATAATATGATTTTTTTCCCCCATGTTTTCCTCACAGGGGTTTGTCACTCTTCTCTCAGTCTTAGTCTTTTACGGTCCCAACAATTGAAGAAGTAATAGCGTAACTTTTTATATGATTGTTGAATACGGTATCGTAAAAATGAATTGAAAAATAGAAAAACAAGTCATGTACATGCATCTCAGACGTGTTTACTTAGAGTCTTTAGTCTTCACGATAACAATATTTAGTTATATTAGGTCCCTGGTTATATATATTATTATCATAATACTTATAAGTTATATTACTGTTAAGATGTTTTTTTGAATTATAAATTAAATGTTATATTATCCTGTCTTTATACACAGACTGACATCAGAGACATACATGTTTCCTCTGCGGCTATTCCTCAAGGAAGCTCGTCACTTGAATGACAATCGAACGACAGCAACTGGGGATGTGGAGTCTAACTGTCCAATTCATGGCGACAAAAGGCTTGATATGTTCTGTAGAACATTTAATAACACAATATATATGAAAGATGCGCCACTTTGAATCACAGAGAAATGCACAATATTGTCGACTATGGGAAAACATCAATGAACGGAACGAGCAAAGCAATTCACACTCGACACTAATTTTAATCAAGCACCAGATTCAAAGTCCATGGAGGAAATTCTGAATATATAAACTCTGAAACTGACAGTTAGAAAGCTACTCCAATACCTAAAAGGTCATTCATGTCACAATGGAAAATTTCTGAAAGGAAACGGATGACATATGCAAGCATATTTTGCGTGATTTGAAAAAAATGAAGGAAAGTCACAGTAGTCATCTACTCAGCGAAAGAGAAAAGAAATTAATAGGTGGTTGATGGAAATGAAAAGCTTCTACAAACACCTTTGAAAATCGTTGACAAGGACATAACAGTTTCCACTGTAGAAAAAAAAATAAAAATTTCCCCCAGAATACCCTGTTTGAACCACCTGTCTTTTCCCTCGGAAAAATGAATGAGTTACAGTTCGAAGACGATCGAAGTAGCTCCATATACATGGGCGCAGACATTTTGGACATCCCGTGTCCAAAATGTCTTTGCCCATATATATGGTTATGTAGGTGTTTTTGCAACAAGTTGATCAACCTGCAGCGATTCTGATTCTGATACCAAACAGTGGGTTCCAAAAGGGATAGCTGTTACACAAAAAGAAAATATTTTTGTATGGCCAAATATGACAAAGACTTAAAGGTTTTTATAATATAAAAATTGAATAGTTTTATATTTTATTTTTAAATAGTTTTCAAGTTAGAGGCACTGACCAAACTTTTCTTAAAAGCTGACGAGTGAATCAACCCGCTCTTTGACAAACCAGAACTTGCGACTGAAACAAATGGTGATATATGCGTCCCAAACATTGGTTCTCAGGCTTCCGTTGTGATACTGAAAAAAAGGAACAGCCCAAAAACATCTACTGTCCAAAAATAGCTCCTGGATTTTTTTTACGAGAAAAGACAACCCCTTTTCTCGGGGAGGAGTCTAGTGTAAATTTTGGATTTACCAACTGGACAATGGGGTAAGGCGGAAAAGGGGTGTTCGACATAGTCTTATCTCGAGGACAAGCATTTCCTTCATATATATTTGAAGGGGTATGTGTATAAATTGTGAAGTTTTTTAACATTGCGTTTGAGATGAATTAACGATCATCAAGAGCGGATCCAGGAATTTTTATTATGGAAGGGGGACCTTACCACCTAAATTTAGAATAAAGTCAAACAAATGAACAAACAAACAAAGCCAAACAAAACAAAATCAACAAAGGGGGAAGTGGGTGTTCGACACAGTCTTATATCATGGACAAGACGTATCCCTTCATATTCAGTATATGACTCTTCTTTATTAACTTAGAAGGGGTCCGTGAATTATAGAGGTGGATAGTCCAAAGTCAATCTTAGGTTACTTCACTAAATTGAAAGTACAAGTAAGGGAGTTTGGGTCCTCATGACCCCGGCTGATTCGCTCAACAAAATTATATGATAATAAATTTATGAAATGATTAAATCAATTTTTTTTGTTGAACAAAATAAGACGAAGTGCGAGATAATGTTTGATCGTCATAAATTTCCACGTGTCTTTAACCCCTTCTTTAAAATATAGTGCTGTTTCTATTTTCCTTGTTTGTTGTTATGTTTATCATTATAGGTAGATAAGTTTTCAAAGAAATGTAGTAAATCTCTGCCCCCTCTCAATACTTATATTCAACCATGGCATCGATCCATATAAAATTTGTGAACTGTACGAATGAAAATCCTATTTGCTGAACTCTCTAACTATGTAATGGACTATCCACATAGTTTCCAGTGTGTAATTTATAAAAACAAGTTTTATTATTTTATGATGAGTTTTAGTACTTTAGACATGTTAAATTTTGTATCAATGCCCGTATAACATGTATGTTTACCTTCCTAACCTTTCATCAATAAGTTTACATATTGATTTATTATTATTATTTTAATTTTTTTTTTACTTTTTGTGTTTGAAACTGTGAATTGATGTATTCATCCAAAAATCTGTCATGACTAATAGTCATAACACCAAGTTTTCTATTTTAATAAAAATTTGTGGGAAAACAATATGCTGGATGGGGTGAATATTTAAAAAAAAATAAAAATATTTGAAATGTTCATTAGATATACTGAAACACATTCTAATATATTCTTACATGTACTTCTTTTTGTAAGTATTTCAGTATACTGAGAACAATTTTTAGTTCTGTAATAAATTGAACTGGTTAAAATTAGCCTTGTCTTCCTTTCGTCTTTAAATTGTTTAATGTAAATGGAGAACAAGGACACGTCTTTTAAATTTATAATAAACAATAAACCATTTAGCCTATATAATTAACATCAGAAATTACAAATCAATCATGTTACTTGAAATATATTTTTTCAAGGATTATTTTTGATCCGCAGTGTTGATTTAAATAAGGTAAGAGGAACAGTGTAAATTAGGAAGATACCACAGTTATCTTTAAGGCATTTTATCTTTCATCATACATATTCCTTACATGTACAGATGAGAAATAAATGCACAATCTGCATGATAAAATGTTAGAATTATCACTGATATCTGACAAGGTGCATCAAAACTTAAACTTCCTCGTTACTTCTGTGTTTTATACTTATAGAATGTACATACTGTAGATGTACGTGTAAACGCAACTACACATACTTCCCAAAGATTAATGGAGAATTCTAAGGACAACGGCCAAGAACCAAAGAAGGCAAGTATAATATATATAGATATATTCAAATGTGATTAAAATAAATCATATATATTGCTAAAGGCAGTATCAGTAAAATGACCATATTTATATACTGTATAAGGGGAAATTTTCGCCCCCGTTTCATTTTCACACCTTTCGACTAGTCACAAGGGGGCGAATTTAAATCGGGGCGAATTCAAAGAACACAATATAAATTCTTAGACAGAACTGTGACAAGGCGATTTTAAAAAAAGGGCAAAATTGTTTGCCAGTGTGAAATGCATGGCAAAAATAGTTTGGAGGCAAAAATAACCATGTATACAGTTTACGTGTAGTTTCAGTCATTAGTTTGGGGAGCAATGAAAGGTGTCATCTTTTTATTATTGAAAAGTAAATGAAGGCTCAAGTAAAGTGTTCGAGAATTCTGTAATTTTCCTTGAGATGGTGGTCGAACCTTTACCTAGCTGGAAGGGTCAAAATAATTTATTTTTGCACATTGGAATTCCAGTCAAGATCTCAGCGAAAATAAACTTTGATGTTAATAGTCCTTAAAACATTATGAGATGAAATATTGAGATGACGAACAGTAATGAAGCTCAACAGCACATTGATACAATACAAATTTGGAGCAGAGCAAACACGGACCTCTAAAAACATCACGTGGGATCAGGTTCCATGGAGGAGTAAGCATCCCCTGTCGACCGGTCACGCCTGCCGTGTGCTCACTGTCATGATCGAGCAAACGGAAAAATCCGTAGACAATTCAGTGTGTAAATAATTGCCTAACAATTTGTATGATTGATTGATTGATTGTGTGTTGTTTTACGTCCCGTTCGAGAATTTTTCACTCATTTAGAGACGTCACCATATACCGGTGAAGGGCTTTAAATTTAGACCTTTACTCGGCACTCGGGGCCATTGAGCAATGAGGGCTCTTTATCGTACCGTGACCCGCAACTTTCACTCCAAAGTGCCGAGCGCTTGGCGAAGGAATAGTTGCTACCTATTTTTTTATCGACTTAGGTCAGTCGCAGCCGTGATTAGAACACACGAGCTCCCGATCACGGAGCGAGCGCTCTACCGACTGAGCTACCGTGACGGTCCTAACAATTTGTATGAAAAACGTCATTCAGCATTTTACTTAATGATAGAATATTTACATTTCTAATTGTTTTCTATAAGATAAGTCTTTAAAAGTTAGGTGAGTTGATGTCTTGATAATTTTAAAACCTGAATATAAATTTTGCCAAGTGAAACGTCAGGGGCCTAATATGCATGTCAATCTCGTGCAGATGTCTGAGTCTGACGTCAGTAGGCGGGGACTATTGAAATTAACATGGGAGGCCTCATGTATTTGCTGACAAGGTCATTGTATCGACCATAGAATTAGCAAAATGTTGACTTTAAAAGAGACTTTTGATATCCTTGTTTCACCAAATTGATTGTCAATAGCTTGCCTCGTTTTAGAAATTGTTTGTACGTAGAGTATACTCTTTTGTAACGAATCAACCAGGGGACTTAAACTCCATATGCAGGTGATTAGGGTATATATATAAGTAAGGGAATATACGATCTCCCATGGTATAGAAATCATATATCCAATCACAAACCATGGGTGTTTCTGTAAATCACATGTATTTTTTACCTAATTTTAAAAGGTTTTACCTTATTTGGATTTTCCGTTGGCTGTTTTACCCTGCATTTTAACGTCATCAGTGCTAAAGGGGTACTAGTGAACACGAGAAAAGGAAAATTCTCAGCTCGAAGGAAGTATGGGGTCGGCGGAATACATTAAATCTTTAAAAAAAAATGTGCGACTGGATTTGCCGGACTTTATGCCCCGATCTTCCAAAAAGAAACCGCTTCCTGGATTACAGTCCATGTAGATAGCAGTGCACAGTGTTAAGATATCGCAAACTGACTATATTTGCATCTTCATGTTATCTACATATAATGTCGATGGAACATTTCTCGGTGAACAAATTACAAATGTACCATTATATACCATCGCACAAGATAGAAATGGATATAATTTTTTCCATGTTGGTCTTTTTGATTGTCATTTGCTCATAGTCTTGATATTGTTACCCCCCCTCTCTCTCTCTCTTAGTCTTCTTTCTTCGCGAAAAATGCAGATACATGTATCTATGTTGAAAATGCCCCTCTTTAAACAAAAATGTAATGTTACCCTTTTAATACGCATACCTACTTTTTGCAATCCCCTTCCCAAGCTTGTGGATATCCTTTCTGCTTCTTTCGCATGTTGGCTAAATTTCCCAAGCTTGTGGATACTAGTATCCTTTCTGCTTCTTTAGAATGTTGGCTAAGTTGAATTATCTCTGTTACATGTAGGTTGCCCCCATTCCGCCAATTGTCTTATTCTTTATATCTTTGCAAACATATTTTCCTCAGCAACAAAATAAGATGAACTTCCTACATGATTGTTGACTGTGGTGACTTTAAATGATTCAAAAACAGAGAAGCAAATCAATGTAACTCAGGTGGTTGCGTTGGCAGAGGGGCCTTTTTATCTCGATGATAATGATAATGGAGTTATATTATTGGTTAATTAAGAAATAAATAACAAGGTTAAAAAGATTTATAGGATATGAACTTGGTTGATCAAGTGATCAAATCCTGAGAAGCCCGAAGGCCCATGTGATCCGGTCACGCTATGACCTCTGACCCCGTAATAAGTTTATACAGAATTGAATATATTTTCTCTTTGGTAAGTTCATCTAAGGATGAAGGACATTTGGAAATGTAAATATTATTTTTTAACGCTTTCTATAATATTCTATTATATTGTCTTTACAAACAGACTGACATAGAAGATGGTTCTTATTCAGCAAATCCCCAAGGAGGCTGGTCACAAGCACAAGTTCACGTGAATATAAACGACAATCGAAAAAGGGCAACTGAAGATGTAGAGTTTTTAAACTGTCCAACTCATGGCTACAAAAAGCTCGATATGTTCTGTAAAACATGCGATACTGCAATATGTGAAAGATGCGCTTATTTGAACCACAGAGAAAAGCATGATGTTGTCGATCTATGGGAAATCATAAATGAACGAGCAAAGCAAATCACACTCGACACGGATTTACTTAAATACCAGATTCAAGCCAAGTTCATAGAGGAAATTCTGAATATAGACTTTGAAACTTACAGAGCAATTGAAAGTTATTCCAATACCAAACGGGACATTCAAGTTACTTTGGAAAACTTCCATAAGGAAATAGATGACGTAGGCGAGCATATTTTGCGTGATTTGAAAGAAATGGAGCAAATTCATATGAATCATTTACTCGGCGAAAGAGAAAAGATAAAAAATCTCCTGAGTGAATTACAACAGGTTGTTGATGAAAATGAAAAGCTTCTACAAACACCTATGAACATCGTTGACAAAGACATTTCAGTGTCTACTGTAGATAAATTTGTGAATTTTCCTCAAATCACAACGTTTGAACCACCAGTCTTTACTCTCGGAAAAATAAAAGAACTGCAGTTTGAAAATGAAGTTACTGTAGCTTACACCCCAACCTTTCATATACCTATCCAATCTGCTTATGAAAAATCCTGTCTTTGTTTACCAAGGCTGAGCAATCCGAAAGAGAAGATTCTACCCGGGTATGAAATTCCGGTAGGCATATGTAAAAGCCCTAACTACGATGTCCTTTCTTTGGAAATAACGAGCAACAATATCCTGAGTGACATCAAGACCTTTGGAGAACAAGCTATGGTTGCATGTTCTGGCAGCAACGAGGCTGTAAACGTCGACAAAAAAGGAAATGTTCTTCAGTGGAAGCAGATGGAAGGAATTTGTTTTTTATCCAAAGATAAAGAAGACGCGATGTACTATACAGATTCGTTTGGCAAGAGAATAGTGAAAACGAAAGATAACACTGACCAAACCACAGCAATTCTGATTGCTGATACCGAGGATTGGGTCCCGAAAGGAATAGCAGTTACGAAAAAGGGGAATATTTTTGTATGTCTTCAGAAGGAAGACGGGGGAAAGCTTGCCAAATATGACAAAGAATTGAATAGACTCATGGACTTCGAGTTTAACGAATCCAAACCGCTCTTTGACAAACCTGAACATGTGACTGAAAACAGAAATGGTGATATATGCGTCACAGACATTACTTCTCAGGCTTCCGTTGTGATACTAGACAAAAACGGAAAACCCCGAAACATCTACCGTCCAAAAAGAGCCTCCAGAATTTTTAAAAGAAAATACAACCCCTTTTCTCCGGGAGGAATCTGCACCGATCGTATGGGTCAGATTCTCGTCTCCGACACCCCAAACAGAGTCCTCCATGTGCTAGACCAGTGGGGAGAGTTCCTTCTCTTCCTCCTCAGGGGGAACTTGGAAGACCCTCGGGCTCTATCGGTTGATGATTGTGGAGAGTTGTGGGTTGTAGAAGGAAAGAAACAAATCAAAATTGTGAAGTATTTGTATGGGTATATTTGAATGTTATTATTAGAACGATCAAGAGACCCATTGGCCACAATCTTCACCCGAATCGTCTTGCTTTTTTTTTTTAACCATACGTAAAATAATTTATGAGTCAAATTTAAGTTGCGGACCACAATTTGAATAAATTTACAATAAATATCAATATGATAATATGCTTCCATATTTATCAGACGCCATAATTGAATATTTGAAATGATTTTAAAAATCACAAAATTTAAAATACCCCATTAAAAACAAGAAAAAAATTAAAAACAAACAAACAAAACAATACAAAATTAAAAAAAAAAAAAAAAAAAAAAAAAAAAAAAAGCACACACACACAAAACAATTGGAAAAGTGACGCCACTATATATATGCCTCCTTTTCTATACATGTAATGTACTATAAAACTTAGAAGCCTGTTTTGATAGGAATCTAACCAAAATATCCTTTGTCTCTACTGTAAGTTTGCACGATTTATAAAAAACTTTCTGCAATGTAGTTATTTATTCAGACTAACGATTTCTTAACTTTTGCAAACAATTGTTTAAAATCGTTTTATTTGCACACGATGCAATGAATTGTGTCATTTCTTTTCTTTCTTTGTGGAACACGATTTTTAAAAGTGTACAAAAGATCCATTCAATTGTGAAAAGATTTTATGCCCCAGTAATCGAAGATTCGGGTGCATATAATTTTTTTCCTGACTTTCTGTCTGTCTGCCTGTCTGTCTTTGTCCGCAAAAACTTTAACCTTGCCCATAACTTTTGATTGGTTGGAGCTATGGCTTTCATATTTTACATGTGTATTACTTGTGACAAAACATTTCTTTGGGTATCAAAATATTTGACCTTTTGGCTCTGACCTTGGAGATTTGCCAAACTTTTACCCAACTTTAACCTTAGTCATAACTTTCGAACAGTTCGTGCTAGGGCTTGCATACTTCACATATATTATCCTTGTGACAAGACCTTCCTTGGGATACCAATAACTTTGACCTTGACCTTCGAGTTTGACCTACTTTTGGAAAACTTTAACCTTTGTCATAACTTTTGAACAGTTGGTACTAGAGCTATACTTCACATGTGTAAGACCATGTGATAAGACCTTCCTTTAGATACCAACAATTATAGCCCATTGATCTTGACCTTGGAGTTTGACCGACTTTTGGAGAACTTTAACCTTAGCCATTACTTTTGAACAGTTGATGCTAAGGCTTTCATACTTAACATACGTAATCCTTGTGACAAGACCTTATTTTGGATACCAACAACTTTGACCTTTTGATCTTACCTTGGAATTTGACTTACTTTTGACAAACTTTAACCTTGGCCATAGCTTTTGAACGGTTGGTGACAGGGCTTTCATATTTCACATTTGTATTTCTTGTGAAAACGCCGTTCCTTGGGCACCATAAATTTTGACCTTGACCTTGATTTTTGACTTACTTTTGAAAATTGAAAAACTTTAACCTTCTTCCATATCTTCTCAATGGTTGCTGCTAGGGCTTTCATATTTCACAGTTATATTCCTCGAGAAAAGACTTTACTTTGGGTACCAACATATTTGATTTGCGTTGGAGAAAGTTTAACATTTGCTGAAAGTTGCCATGCGGGGGCATCAGTGTTTCACAAACACATCTTGTTATGTCTTTTTTCCTTTCAATTCCTTTTTTTTTGTATGTATATTGTATTGCATGTATTTGACTATATATGAGTATTTAAAATGTACTTTCTTTGTCTATGTATTTAGATAAAATATGCGATTTTTTTTTTTAAATTCAGATACATGTAGTACATGCGCGTGTTTCTAGTATGTAAATATTTGTATTGAGAAACACATTGTATATGACAGTGAATAACTATTTTTTTTTTTGATGTGATCAAACAGTTTGGTTACGTGAAAATTTGCATAAACGCCGAAGGCATTAATGCATAAAATTATCAAGTGTCAGAGCAAACTGTTCGATGATCATCATCATAAAAAAAGACAGTTCAATATTCCTTATATTTACGCTTTACCTGATCCTTGATTCAATAAAAATTGAGTTATGTTATTTTTTATTCTATAGTTAAAAATCTAAGTCTGCAAGCTCCTCCCAGTGTATTACTGCGAGAAAGCAGTTATGCCACGTGATGTTCAAATGGCTTTATGAAGATATTTCCTTATTTGTATTTTTATAGTTTTATCCCGTACAAAGACATTTGAAAATGTAAATATATTTGACTTCTTCTCCAGAACCACTGGGCCATAATCAACCAAACCTGCCACAAAGCATCCCCGGGTGAAGGGAAATCCGAATTTAAGTTTGATAGAAGGAATAGCTATGCCCTCGTTTAAGGGGAGATAATTAAGATCTAGTGAAAATTTGGTGGAAACGTTCTCAAGATCCACTAGGCGAGAAAAGATGAAATTTATATGAAAGCTTTCTGACATAGTGTAGATTTAAATTTATTCAAATTATGACCCCAGGGATTAAAGGGGGCACAATATAGATCAAATCTTATAATGAGAATATATATGGGGAAAATCTTTAAAAACCTTCTAAAGAAGAACAGCAGGGCCATGATTAGTAATATTAATATGCAAGCATCCTCAGTTAGTGTAAATCCAATTGTTCAAAGTAAGGTCCCGGGGTAGGGTGGGGCCACAATAGAAGATTTACATGGAACTATATAGGAAAAAATCTACTGAAGATCAGCAGGGCCGTGATTTTTTTTTATATTAATATGAAAGCATCTTAAAATACTGCAGATTTAGTCCAAAGTTGGCGGCAACTGACTCCTAATCAGAAGTTTTAGTCGCCAGGCAAATTTTCTTAGGCGCCTACTTTAAAAAGCTGATAGAAGTCAATATAGGGACCCAGGGGGTGGGGTAGTCATGGAAAGGGAGTGTCTTAGTGCCCCTTCAGCTTTTGAAAATGGGGGACAAGAGTATCCTTGCCTCCCACCCTCCCCAGGTCGGAATAGTAATATAGGAGATACAGTAACTAGGAAATGTTCAAAGTAGAATTATAAAAACCGTGTTTGCTCTTCAGATATTTTATACTTGCTTGATACCCCCCTGAGTTTAACAAATTGAACACACCCGGTGGAACGTAGGGCACGAGCTTTGTTATTGTTAATGGTTACGTTTCACCGGGTGTGTTCAATTTGTTAAACTCTGCACACATCAATGAGCACGGACTGACAATAGTGGTGAGTTGCTTTTGCTTTCTCACATTTCTACTCTGAATTTTCTGGATTTTATCTTTAATTTTTTTCATTAATTTGTTAATGGGATTCAGGTGAGCATTGTGGTTAATTTGAGTCATCGTAAATGACATTTCAATTAGCCACCTTAATCACATTCTTTAGTCTTTATAGCTACGAGGGGTGATCAAAAAGTTCGCGAACTATCTCTATATTTACAAAACCACAATTCAGATCAGAATGAAATTTGGCACACATATAGTCATACACATGTTCTATAAATAGCAGGTGTATGTAATATTTTTCTCCATGTTTGTGACGTCACGATGTGAAAATGACGTCAATATGTAAGTGACTTGTGACAAAAAATGGTTGACTCAGTCATAATCGAGCAACGAACGGCTGTAAAGTTTAACGTATATCTTGGAAATTCTTTTGCAGTAGCATATAATAATTTGTACAAGATTTATGAAGACAAAAGACTTGCCAGAAGTTTAATCATTAATTGAATTGATTGTTTTAGTGAAGAAAGGAAGATGGTTAAAAATGACGTTTGTTCTGTTGCCTAGTGAAAGCAAGCTGGGAAAGAGAAGTGTCCTTAGTTGATGAATTTGTTATGAAAGATCGCCAATTACAATTAGAAAAATAGTTGAATATCTTAACAATAATATGATTATTAAATCCCTAAAATATCGTTTACTTTAGACTTTAAACATATCAGATATGATAAAAAGAAGGCACCCATACTTTATCCACATTTGATAAACGACCCTCCCAAGACAGAGGACTCGTGTTGTGATGGTCATCGTGCTTACTCTGGGGAAGGATATCCTTATCCACCCATCCTATTGCCGAGATTTGGCCATTTTTGACAAGTGGATCGACTGCTCTTGTTATAAAAAATAATTTGCATGGTGAAAAATATCAGATTAGGAAAAATCTTTCAGCTTTGTGAACAGAGCGCTACGGAGCATGTCACGTGACCGCCTGAATCACGTGATTCTTGCATGGACAGAACCGTGGCATATGTGCATTAAAATCGGAGAGGACTACTTTAAAAAATAATGAACACTGAAACCTAATTTTGTTTCTTTTATGGAAGTAATTCAATTAGTTTTACTTTTTTTATCACCCCTCGTATAATCTGAGATGTTTCCACGGGCACTTTTTTTTAGAGAGAATTTAGGCATTATCTGACTAAAGTTATCGTTTTTAGAAAAATTCTGAAAAGGGGGGTCATTCCAGATGCCGGTGGATAATATCCTTAGACAAAAAAATCTTTCCCACCAGGTGAATACTTTGTAAAAAATCAAAAAAATAAAGCTTTATTTTATTTATCCGGGAAGTGTTGGGTTGCACTTGCTTTTGAACATTATTTTCAAGCGCTAATTTAACATGGAGTAATAAGAGGAAGTTAATAATATTTACATTTATTATTGATATAAAGTTTATTATAGGCATTTCCCACGTCTAACACTTATGGAAATTGGTGAATGGTATAACTTGGATTCCATGGATGGACGTAGGAGACAGGTAAACTAACAACTAATGTGACATTTTGTTGCATGCACAATATCGACCCGTTCCCTGACCAGGGTTGGCATAATCTCAGGGAACACTCATATTTTCCATGACCCTGGGAAATACTGGTAATTCTCGGGAATTACTGGTATATCCCAGGAAATACTTTGAAATAAGGTACAGAAGCATGTTTCGTAATTTTAATCATATCTGTTCTGATATAGTACACCTTAGTCTTACTTGCTAGCTAAAATGAATTAATAATACTTTGGTTTGACAACCCAGTAATTTTATGAGTAATGCATCTCCTTACAAATATTCACAACACTGTTCACTCAGAGACCAGAGTCATGTTTTAATACTTCATGCATGTGTATACAAGTCCATAAAATTGAAACCAAATATCCCATCTAGGTTTGTTTTTCTTTTTTCTGTTTATTTACGAATGCTATGCTTTGTTCATGTATTATTCCACAGAGATAGATTTTCATTTGTCTAACTTCTTCTTTGCAGCAATCCCATTATGAGGTTGGAAACGAGTCCAGAAATTCCACAGGATATAATCTACATTCAGATTACCACAAAGACAGTGACCATACTGAATATCAGGTTCAGGTTAGTGTTTTATATCACTGTCATTTTTTTATGTTAATTAGGTAAATTCATTTGTAAAATGTTGTCTAGCTGTCTTTAATATATTAGATCAGTAAAAAGTTTCTTGACATATATAAATAATGATCCAGGATCTGCTTTTTTGTTGCCTGTCTTTAATGTAGAGTAGTAAACCATTCTTGTCATATAAATAATTAACAATGTTTCCAAAATTTGGTTTTGATAAAAGAGTGTATTTTTTTGCATGCACAAAATTAGAGGTATCATTTCTGTTAATGTTATTGTAGTTTGCTGGCATAATTGAAGATATTCAGGTGCATGTAGATATTACAAACAGAACAGAGGTCCTAAGAATGATAGATCGTGGGAAGGTACAAGTATCACACCATTGAGTTTAACTTCGTTATCTCGAACACTGATATCTCAAATACCACAGATATGTCAAAGTCATCTGGAAGTCCCAATCACTTTTTCTCTCTGTATTTTACCCTCAATGTTGCGAAGACTTGGATATATCAAATTTTTTTCTTGGTCCTGTAGAATTCGAGATAACTAGGTTTGACTAGATATATAATCAAATACAATGAAATGATGATAAAGACATGCAACTTAAAAATAAAGATAAAATAATGCTTGTAGATGGACAAGATGATTCCACTGGTGCTGTCTGTGGATAGAAAAGCCATTCTTAGTTTATGTCGGTATAACATGAAATTAATGTACAGAGAACATGGCACAGAAGTTAGTATTCTTATCTTTCTTTTGCTAACTCTAATTTTTTTCCTGCTTTTGAGTACTGTATGATATGTGCAGAATATGTGAAATTATTTTTTTCTTTTTATTGATTTTTGGTATTAGATGTGATTTTTGTATATGTATTACAGAATCTGATCATACGAATTCCCATCCATGAAATAGCAGCAGTCTGTTATGTGAATGATGATGGCATACACATTTTGGCTATCAAATATGGTAATAAGAAACTTCTAATAAATATTAATTTGTTGTGTTATTTGGAAACTACAAGCATGAAGTAAGATGTATAACTTTTGACAGGAAACCCTGAGAGGTGTTCACTGTTAGTGCTGTACTGCGACAGCCCAGCGCGAGCAGAGAGAGTTTGTTCTGATGTGGCGCAATGCTTCCAGCTTATTTACACAGATGCAGTGGTTAAACTTTTAGAAGATGCCATCTGTAAAGTAGAAAATTCATCCACAGGATCGCCCACCATAAATGACAATAGTCGGAAGTATTCATTGTAAGTCATTATTTAATGGTTGCTTACAGTAAGAGTGTGTTTCTCACATTATGTAGTTGCTTTGTTCTCTGTAATTAAAGGTTCATTTCATATTTTGAAAAAAAAGTTTGCTCTAGATTTATTTTGTCTATTTCTTTTTAAAACCTGAAGTTCTGAATTTCTTTCTCTAAAGAATTTATGTGTGTAAACTGCTTTATTTAATGTATGCCAGACATTTTTTTTTAACGTGGATTTATTAACACCATTTGTATGATCTGTGTGACATACCAATGAATTGCATGCTTACAGGGATAGCCAGGACAACCCTGGGTAAGAATCTGTGTTGGTTTTAATTCTCACCTCTTGTCTCTCTACAGCAATGGTAGCTGGATTTTTCTTGTAGTTTCAGTGAATTATCTATTTAAGAACACCTGTTTTTCAGATGTAGTCTTGTAGTACTAAATGTAAAGAAAATATTTTAACAAATTCTACATCCAATCAAATTTTATTTTTCTTATTTATACACATGTAGGAAATATTTATAGAAGGGTATACATATTTTGTAATATTTATACATATGTAGGGTATACATATTTTGTAAACCTTCTTGCTTCTTCTAAAATTATATTCATTTCTGTATATTTTTCTTCTCGTATCATATTGTAGATTTCACTTCAAACAGTTAAGAAAAAAAAATGATTTAAAATGTACAATGTATTTATAATCTCTACCTGCACTTATGTTTGTATCGTGCTCCCTCTTTAAGACACATTTTGTCAGTTTCTCTTATGGGATACAAGGTTCTAGCATTGAAATACTTTTTGATAGCTGCAAATGATTGTTGAAATATATTATAAGATTTCTTCATGTTTAAGTGCAGCTAATCAAGAAATTGTTTGTCTTTGAAGCTAATACATCAATTAACATTTATGTTGGTGGTTTCTAATACTAATTGTAATGTGATCAAACCGTAAGTTGTTGGAGATAGGAGAACATTTTTTTTTTATATAAAATTTCTGCTTTGATTTACCTTTTTTCTCCAAACTGTGCTTTATCTAATAATGAAAAAGGGAAATCTAGCATATCATTGTTTTTGGAGACAATTTACTCTGTATTTTCAGCATTTCTCAGTCACATCCGAACCTTGCAGAACAGAGGCATAGAGACAGTGGGTCTGTACACAGCATGCACAGTGGCCATAGCGTTCAAACAGAACTCTTGAGATCATACTTGGAGCAAGTAAGATGGAAATTACATATTCCTTTCCACAAAAGTAGACTTATTTAAATTTGAGAAAATGTATTAATTAGCAAATGCATTAAATATACGGAAAGCACACAATAAAATATGTGTGTCATTTTTAATTTGAGATATTACATACAATGTATTTATTTCTTTTTAAATGGAAGGTGCAATAAGTGTATATTTGGCTAATTTATTTTTTTTTATTTTAGCTGAGAAATAAATTCACTGTGGATGAACTTGCGAAATTCTCCACCCTACTGAAAAAAATCAATGACCCCTCCCCCAAAAAATCCAGTGAGCTCCAGGCAGTTTTCCAGGAGGTTTATCAGCTGTATGGCAAAGAAAGAAAGAATCTCTTAACTGGTAAAACATTCAATAAATTAATATAAATGTGTATGATTGTGTAGGTGGGTATTATGGCAGATAAGCATTCCTTTAAAAGGCATTTAAACTTTTACCATTCACAGTTCTGGCACATAAGGTCAATCATTAGTATAACTGTAGGTTTGGCTCTTAAAATAATTTAATTGGTTGCTAATTTAAATGAAGCATTAGGATTCAAATGTTTTGAATAATGTCATCATCATGTATGTAAGAAACCAGGATTTATAAAACCTTGTGTCAATAATGGAGAGCAAGTCATTCTTTCCAAAAATAAATGTAAGTAAATAGGTGTATGATGATTCTTAATAATTTAATAAATATAATAAGTAAACTGATTTAATGTTTATCCTATTTATAGTTGATTCAATGCTTGTCATGGTTAGAGAATGGGTTGCAATTGCAGGTTTGTGCCCTTTCATTTATGAGAAGCATTATGACAAATTCTTGGATTTTCTGAAGAAGCAAGGCATTGTAATTCCTGACAATGGAACATTATCTAGTCGCCACAGTTATCCCCGCATTTACACGTAAGTATACAAAAGAAAGATACTTACAGTCAGAAGACAAGCTACAGGATATATGCATGTATATAATAAATGTTAACTTTTCAATATCATATTTAAATTTTCTTATTTCTGCACACATAGTATGTTTGTGATGAATGTATGTTTTTGACCTCCAAAAACCATTTATAGCAAGAATGACAGTTGAATTGGAATGTACAGTTGAGAATTTTGACTAAATTTTGAATGATAACCCAAGCGATTCTCTGACCTCAAGGTCCAGCGGTCAAATCGGAATCTAGGAACAGTGTTTACTGAGTTTTGCATATTACTGATATAGTCACATACATTATTACAGGAATAGAAAAGAAGATAGAAAGACCACAAATATTATTACATTACATACATACATCATGTACATGTAAACAATCTCAGTATTTTTTATGTAGTCACTAAGCAAAGGAAATTTTGAAGGAATTTTTTGTCTGGATTGTTTCTTCCTTAGTTGTACTTTTGGTATGCAAAAATGTTTTTAGAAAATTGGCATCTTGATTACAACCCCCCCCCCCCCCCCCCCACCACCACCAAAAAAAATCAACTATCTGTTGATTAAATCTTCCTTTTGGCCTAAAGCTACTGAAAGTTATGAGTGCTATATTGACTTCGATCTAATTTTAGTCCTTCCATCAGTGACAGTTCCACTATTATTGATGATGATTTGGATAGTGAATTGGAGTTTTTAGCTTCAGCCTCCTCCGTTATGGTAAACACTAATACTATTTCAAAAGCAGATGTGCTTATATGCAGTGTCTTTGTCCATGGGAGCTTAATCCTCTATATGTCACTGTTTGTCACAATGATTGTGTTAAGAGAATTTCCATTGCAAAAAGTTATTGGTCTCTTTTTCTTTCACCTATTTTTTTTCCTTAAAACTCAAAATTAGAGATAGTTATACATTATAGGCATTAAATTCTTTCAAATTTAAATAAAAGATTGACTGAAAGTTCTTGCTAGGAATTTGACCATTGTTTTCAAAAAGTCATACGTTCCTAAGTTATATTCTGAAATACAGATGACAGTGGTCTATGCTTTTACAGAATATGTATCATACATCAGAATGCCCTTGTCTCTGTGTGGAGGGTCTCATCACTTTTGTGCCATTGATGATGAGTTTTACTTAACTTTTGTCTTTTGTGTTCTAACTTGATACTTGTGAGCTTGCTGGACTGAAAAATATATATAGGCAAACAGAGCAAAGCAACACGGAAGAAAATGTACACTTTTAACAAAGCACTGCTTTCAGATTAGGAGAAAGAAGCAACAGTGGTGAAAGGCAGCAACAGATCACTATGTTGGTGTATACTAGAGACTTTTAACTGTCATATCAATATCTGTTGTAAGGAATGTAATGTATCAAAGACAATAGCTACTTTTTCATTTCAACAATCAATTCATGTAATGTCAACTTTTATTTATGGTATGATAACGGATAAGTATTGTTTAATTTCAATCTAGCTACCTTGTATATCTTGATTTGGGATGAAATAGAAATGTATACTCTTGATGTAGAATTTAAAGATAAATTTAGGAATGGACACCTGAGAAACAATTGTTTGGACTCATCTGGAGGACCATTGCATAATTATCTTATCACATTGCATAATTATCTTATAATCATAGCCTATACATGTAAATGTCTCCTACTGAAACTTGATATGTTTTAGATTTTCCATTTCAGAAGAGAGCTTAGTCAAAGCTCTTTATATGTGAAAGTACCAAGAAGAGTCTAATTCTAGTGATTTAATTTACCAGGTTCATGTACAAATACTAGTATATGTTGTCATATGAAATGCATATACATGTACTGTCAATTGCCATCTTTTCAGACGTTCTGTGAGCGACATGACCACTAATGATCAGAGTGATATTGACAGTGTACTGGAGGGGATTTCCTCTCAGCTTGCTCAGATCGATAGCAATATTGGCGATGTCCCTGCATACCTGTCTTATCCAACATAAACTGTCAGAAAGGATTGAATGGCCAAGATGTCTTCTTGTTCCAGATAAAGAATCCCCATTCTACATGTCTGTTTTAATCTGCTACACACTGTATATATGCGTAATCTTCACCTGGTGCTGGCATCAGAGGATGTTTACAGGAAGTGTCTACTATATTTTCCATATGTGTGTATTTTCAATATGTTTTAGAAACACAATTCAATCACTCCATCATGCTTTTTACAAATTTATTATTTTTTAGAATTTAAATGGGTAAGATAATGTAGTCATAAATTTTTTTAAGAGAGTACTAAGAGGGAAATGGAGGGAAAATTCTAACCTATACATGTTGCAGAATGAAATCTTTTAAAAACCCATATCGAAAATGAATACAAAAATAATACAAGAAAATAATACTAAAATAATACAAAAAAAGTATATTTTTAATGACCAAATTTGGAACCCTCTAAATCTTGGTTCCAATTTAGGTCAAAAATAATAGACTTTTTAAAAGCCAAACACAGAAAAATATATTTTTAATATACTTTATTTTTTCGAAATAATACAGAAATAATACACATGACCTGTAAAAACGTATTGTTTTTGTACTTTTGTATTATTTCTCTATTTTCCTCTCCAAAGTATAAAAATAATACAGTCCATAGAAAAGTATAGAAAAAATACAGAATGTATTAATTTTGTATTAGCATATATTATTTTTGTATTTTTTCACCTTTAAGAATTAAAATACAAAAAAAATATAGAATATATTAATTTTGTATCACATATATTATTTTTGTATTTTTTCATCTGGAACAATTAAAAGTACAAAAAAGATATAAAATATGAAAATAATACAGTACACAAAAAAGTATGAAAAAAATATAGAATGTATTAATTTTGTATTAATATGTATTGTTTTTGTATTTTTATCAGCATGAAGGATTGTATTTCAAAAATATCAAAAAAGTACAAGAATGATAGACAAAAAATACATTTAAATGCTTAAAATAATACAAAACAGAGTTTTAAAAACTACAAAAATGATCATGGGCAAAAATTGTTATTTGAAGAAAAGGGGTTGGAGATTGAGGTTCTTAATAGCATCTATTGATTGTTATTCAAAAATCTTTTATTTATTTGAAATATTTGTTAAATAACAATTTTAGTAACTCAGTCAGATTACCTTAAATGTACAAATAGCTAATTAAAAAGTAATTAATGTGGCAAGGCTACTGATTCAGCTACCAATTCTAGTCTTGATCTTTCTTTTTACATATAATCTACTCTTCAATAGTCCTAATATTTTTCACAAGTTTAACTAATCCTGTTTTCTTTGTACTTTTACCAACTGTTTCAATCTCTCTGCTTTGCTGTTTCTTTTGTATGGAAAAGGTAGAGGAGTGTTTACTTTGTTGCAGAAGTCCATCTTCAAATCACACAACCTGTCATCTCATCTGACTTCATCACTGTGAAATATAGAACAGAATGATATAATAATAAAATTTAATGAACCATTACCTCAACAAAACACACATTTTCACATCCAAAATAATTCTATATAGATTTTGTTTAGCTCACACACCTGCAATGCTTTCTTGAGAGGGATCTTCTTCCTCCATGACTAATCAGCTTTTCTTCAATGTTCTGCTGACTGAAATTAACAATAATTATAAATTGAAATTCCAAAAGATCCAGCGGAGTTCACCAAATTCCATACAATTGTACCATTGAAATTACTTTTCTTTAATCTGGGGTTTCTTAGGGGACAACCATTTGATTTGACAATCTGGAGAAGAAAAAGGGGGGGGGGCTGATTTATAAAATATTTTAAAAAATATATTTGTAATAAACAATCTGTCCTTGAAAATGTTGAAAGATTAAACAAAATGTGTGCCCCAATGTTATTTAAATAAACTGCCCCCTCCCCCCGAACCCAACCTAACCCCCCCCCCCCTAAAAAAAATTTGAGTTTATACAAATTACAGAATTGTTTTTGAAGGGAAAATAAATAATTCGTCTCTGGTAAACTTAAAAAAATTGGAATGAATTAGAACTAGGAAGCCAAAGGCTTGAAAATTACCCCCATCTTCCACCCCTCCCTCCCCAATCAGAATTTATCACAAAAACCCTTGTTCCCCACATGGCCAATAACCGTACTATTTTATCTTTCTACAATACTACAAAATGGGTAAAAAAGGCATTCTTTGTTCCTCTATCTTTGTACTAAGTTATTATTTAAAAAACTGAAACTTTAATGTGCTAAAATATACATAATCTTACCGCAACTGTCGTTGTTTACACCAGAAAAGTCCGGATATGATGCCTAAAAAACGTCAGTCTCCTTATGTATTTGCTTTCCTTGGTTCATATATATGATCCTGTGTACCATGATTATGCTGAACTTCTGTTTTTCGATCCATTTTACTCGCGAGCAAATGAGAGTTTATTCAAAATCACCTGCAGCTTTCTCAACACGTCCCGGGAAGAATTTTCAAAATGGCGTGGGTGAAATATTGTTGACCAATCAGAGAACAGTACGGAAGAGTTTTAAAATCTGACCAATCATATTGTGTCATATATACGAAAATTACCGATGTTGAGATCGGAACAGTTAGAGAAAACATATTTACATGGTTTTAAATATCTTGAATCAATTGAACAAACCTAAAATTATGTTAGAAAAAAACGATGTTCAATTTAATCATCAGAATCATTTTTTTATTCCTTACGGAATTTACCGATTACGAAACATCGTTATTTCCGGTCATCATTTCCGCTGAGAGCAGCCATTTTTATATTCAAGTTGACCTGTGAAGTAGACCATAAAGTTCAAATATAATGATCAAAACGAGCGGTAGATACATAATATATAGCCTTTTTGACGGACAACTTAACTCATACATACGGTACCAGAGATTGAAATAATGTTTAACAACTATCCTTTACACCAATTTCACAACATTTTCTATATTATTTCATGATATTCTTTCATTATAATTTCTTATTTAATTTTTTTTAAAAGCGGATAATTAAATAGTTCTATTTCATGTAATTGTAATACGTACTGAATTAAATATAATGTATACTAATTTGAGTTGTCTAGTCAAGAAAACATCGTAGGTACTGTAATTAGTGGAACTCTCCATGTTGGTTGTTTTTGTTTTTTTTTTTTTTTTGGTTGGGATGTGTTTTCACGGGTAAATCATGTTATTTCTTTGAGTAGTATAACATGTACTCCTCTATTGTTAGCCTGCAGGTGGCCACCTGTGCTGTTGGCGATAGTTGTAAACACTCGGTTGTAAACACGCTGTAAAATTTTCAACACAAAAAGAAAGTCTGAAACTCTGAAACTTCAAAATTTACCGCGTGTTTACAACTATCATGTACAGCACAGGTGTTCCCTTAGACGTATCTATCTCTTTCAAAATGACAATTTCACACCTAGTAAAGACATGTTTTAAAAATGAAATTGTTTAGTTAACAAATTTAAACTACTGAAATTTTCTGTTCTAAATAGCAATTAAATGTAAATAGTATAAAAGCAACCTTTATAGCAGTGGTCTTAATTAATAAAATCTGAGAAAAAAAATATTAATTCCAACAGACTTATTGCAAGGACATTCTGTAAATTTTCCTAAGTTCAAATAAATACAAATTTCAGTTAAAGAGAACACTAAGTCCAAAATAAATATAAAAAAAATACATACTGACTGTATAGTATTTTTTGAAAAATTATTAAGTCCAAATTTAATACAAAAATAATACAGACTAACTGTATGTAATTTTCTGTCAAATTACTAAGTTCAATTTTAATACAAAAATAATACAGATTAACTGTATGTAATTTTCTGTAAAATTACTAAGTTCAATTTTAATACAGAAAAAATACACTTGAAAAAAACTAAGTCCACAAAAATACAAAAATGATATACCGAAAATAATCTAAGTCCCAAAAAATACAAAAATAATACCCTGTAAAAAATCAAAGTCAGATTTTAATACAAAAATAATCTACCTATTTGTTGGTGATACAAAAATAATATATTTTTTCTGTATTAATTTTAAACAATACGAAAATGATTGTATTAAAAATATATTAAAAATATACTTTTATGTATTATTTTTTGATATGGGAAGTGCTTGATAATTTGCCTATTGTGATTTATGTTATTGCACAAGTTTTATTATTAATACTGCGGATGTATTTTTTCCTGGTGGGATTTATTTACGCTATGTCCATGGGCAAAAATTTTCCGTGAAAATTTGTCCTGAAATCTTGTTTGAAATCTTTGTATGAAATCTGCATAATTTTCTATGCACGAAGTGAACAGAAATTGTGATTCCATGAATATATATGATCCCATGGGAATAAGTATGTTTACAGTAATTAAACAATTATGTGATAAAGTAGTAAGGTTGTGTGCTTTGAAGTACCTGTATGCAGAAATCATGTTTTTGTTTTGTGTACTTGTACGCAGCTGTTTCCTGATTAGTATACAGTGTACCGTATATGCTTTTTTTCATTAATGACTCAAAATCAATGTTATCCACCAATATATTCATGTAAAAATATGTATCAATACATGTGTCTGTAAGAAAATGCTCACAGAGGATTTATTTATATAATCTACAATGAGAGATATGGTTATGGAGGCATTGTTTCATGTGGTGGGAATGACTGTGTCAGAAATTATGCATAAACACTTGTAAAGTCAGCAAATTTATAGCATCCTAGTTATTTCATTTGATAATAATGCATAAATCTATATTGTAACAAAATGAATATATGAATTTATTTGCTTGTTTATGGACAGGTTGTGTAATGGTAGGCCATTTGTGAGCTTTTTAGCTCACCTGAGCTGAAAGCTCAAGTGAGCTTTTCTGATCACATTTTGTCCGTAGTCCGTCCGTCCGTCTGTCCGTCCGTCCGTCCGTCTGTAAACTTTTCACATTTTCGACTTCTTCTCCAGAACCACTGGGCCAATTTCAACCAAACTTGCCACAAAGCATCCTTTGGTGAAGGGGGTTCAAGTTTGTTCAAATGAAGGGCCATGCCCTCTTCCAAGGGGAGATAATTAAGAATAAGTGAAAATTTGGCGTCTTCTTTTAAAAATCTTCTTCCCAAGAACCACAGGGCCAGAAAAGTTGAAACTTATGGGAAACCTTCGTTACATAGTGTAGATTCAAGTTTGTTCAAATCATGACCCCCGGGGGTAGGGTGGGGCCACAATGGGGGATCAAAGTTTTACATAGGAATACATAGGAAAATTCTTTAAAAATCTTCTTCTCAAGAACAACAAAGCCACAATTAGTCATATTGATATGAAATCATCCTCAGGTAGTGTAGATTCAAGTTTGTCCAAA